TAATCAAGTAATATTTATACTTTTTTAATATAAAAATTAGAATTATTTTACGATATTTGATAATTTTTTATTGAAGTTATAAAAAAATATTTGCTGGGAATTAAATTTTTATAAAATAATTTGTATGTTAAATTAATTAGTTTAAGAAATTATTAGTTCGTTTTTTATTATTTATAAAAAAAATAGAATAAATTAAATTTTATGCTTTTAAACTTATCAATTTTTTTTTTCCGTTTTTATTACTAAAAAGTCGATTGACTTAATGAGAATTGTATGCAGCGCATGATGTGCTGAAGTTTGCAAGAATGTTGCCAGATAATTGAAGATAAAACTTCTATCGAATTTTAAGTGGGGGGGGAACTTACTCTCCTTTCTTACAAAACACCTCTTGGATTATACATTTCTTGTTAAGTTTCACTAAAAATAAAAATTCTTAGAAATGCTCTTCCCTTACTGTTTCTATGTGAACAAAAGGAATTTTCTAAATATTTTAACGTTAATTTACCTTATAATTATGAATATATTTTAAAATATTAAATAAATTTGAACGAGCATTTTTTGAATTAATTTTTTATGTTATGTTTATTAAAAGTCATTTAAACGAGAGCTTAATCTTTATAGACAGCAAGAGGAATTACCACTGTCTTTGAAGTTATTTTCTAATTACTTGGTAGTTTATCTAAACAAGAATGTTTCCTTAAAACTTTGTTAAGGTATTTAAAGAAAATTGCAAATGTGTCATCACCAGTTAAGTTTAAAAGTAGATAAACACAAAGTTAAATTATTGTTATTTAAGTAATTAGCATCTTACCATGAATGAAACTCAAATAGAATTTTATATAAATTCTTTTATATTAATACCAATAAAAATGTAAAAATGTAATTAATATTCTTATTATTTACATAAATCATTATTTAACATACATTACTAGAATACATGAAATTCTATAATTAAATTCAAGTAAAAAATTACGATTTTATCCCTGTAACTGAATAATGTGATTATTTTTACCATTAAAAAACTTTCATTAAATAAAAATAACTATTTTAATCAAAATTATCTTAATTAAAATCGATTTTATTCTTATCTTAATACTTGATAATTAGTTCAAAAGTTATATGTAAAGTTATTAAAATTAAATATAAAATATGTAAATAATATTATAGAGATAATTATATAATCTAAATATATAAAATTGCTTGTCCTGACTGACTCACTCATTCATTCACTGATTCATCATCGCCCAGAGCAAACCGCTTAACCTAAAGAGGTGAAATTTGGTACACAGTTAGGGTACGTCATGGAAACGCACACTAAGAAAGGATTTTTCGAAATTCCAACGCGGGGGGGTGAGGGGGAGCATTAAG